TGCAGCCAGTGCCCTCCTGCACGTGAGCAGGGCAGAGCGGGGATGTGGGGTGGGGAGAGCTGGGCGGGGGAGGAGGGGCAGGGCCTCCTCCTTACTCACCTCCCTGCCCCCTGGGCCCTCCAGGGCTTCAGCTTCCATCTGGCTGCGGTGCTGCTGTCCCTGGCGTTTATCACTTACGTGGAACACGGTGAGTGCCGAGCCCAGCCCAGCAGATGGGACGGAAGGTGGGGGCAGGGCTAGAACCACTGTCCCCTGAGGCTAACCTGACCCCCCCCCTTTACCTCCCTGGCATCTGCCCCAGTCCTCCGGAAGCGCCTGGCTCGGATCCTCAGTGCCTGCGTCTTGTCAAAACGGTGCCCACCAAACTGTTCGCACCAGCATCGCTTGGTGAGGGTTCAGCCTGGGCAACCTCATGCCCAACACTCCCCCTCAAAAACGTTACTTCCGTCTCCATCTTAATCTGTCTCAGGGTGCCCAGCTTCCTCTTCTGGTGCCTGAGCAATCCCCAGAAGCTCACTTCTATTCACTGGCATCCATTTCTCTCCCAAACATTCATCAAGCCCCTGCTGTGTACACACCTGGCATCTGTCCCCCCACCCCCCGTGAACATAATTATTGAGCACCTGCTGACATCAGGCACTATTCTAGGCACTGGAGACACAGTGGTGAACAAAAGAGACTAAAATCCCAGCCCTATGGGACAAGCATTTTAACAGATGAGATAGTAAATTTTTAAAGTCAGTAAAGTATAATAGTTTCTTAGATTGTGATGAATGCCAAGGAGAAAAGACATGAGGGAAAGGGGAAGGGAAGTATGGAGGGGGTGAGTGGTTCCAATTTTAAATAGGGAAGTGACTTTTGAGTTCTTTAACTGAAGGAGATGGGGAAGAGAAGCGTTCCAGGCAAAGCGAGAACAATGGGTGTAAAAGCTCTGACATGGGAGAGAGCCTGGAATATTTGAGGAACAAGAAGGCCAGTGTGGCTTGAGCAGAGCGAGCGAAGGGGGAGAGTGGTGGGTCTCGTAGGTCATGGTGGGGATTTGTTTTGGTTTGTTTTTTCATTGTTTGCAATAATATGGACAACCTCAGGTTTGTCTCCCACCCGGCAACCGATGTTTATCACCATAAGCCCCCAGCTCAAGCCCCTCCACTCTTCCTCCTCTGCCTGAACACTCGCATCTCCCCCTGGATGCCCTCAGGCTAACAGTACCCTCATCCTTGGATACCTCTGGAGCTCCCATAGGAAGTTGCAAACCATCTTTTTCCTACCCCAGGGGGTGCCCTGTGCCCTGGACATCCTCATTCCTGGGAACCACTGGGCCTTGTGCATTTCCCTGGGCTCCCCTGCCCAGGTGGGGCTGGGGGACAGTGAGTAGATCCAGCTGCCAAGCATATCCATCTGTCCCCCACAGGGCCTGGGGGTGCGAGCCTTAAACCTGCTCTTTGGGGCCCTGGCCATCTTCCACCTGGCCTACCTGGGCTCCCTGTTTGATGTCGATGTGGATGACACCACAGAGGAGCAGGTGAGGTGGGGCCCTGGGCTGGAGGTTACTTAGGGATGTGCTACCTGCTCATGGGAACCATGAGAACAAAGGTGAAGAGGCTGAGGCATTGAGGACCTTGTGTCATGTGTCTATCTAGCTTGCAAAGCTAGTGCTCCTCGCTCCTTCTTTCCCAGGGTCCTTCTGGTTGATTTGTCCTGTTGGGGCTTTTATTAGGGTGAAGCGTGCAAACTATGTTTATTTTACTTATAAAATTTATTTTATGGAGATGGTGTGCAAAATCCAGGTTTTATCTTTTTTTTAAGATTTTATTTATTTGAGAGAGAGAGAGAGAACGGGAGCAGAGGGACGGGCAGAGGGAGAGGGAGAAGTGGGGTCCTTGGACCCCAACGCAGGGGCTTGATCCCAGGACCTCAGGATTATGACCTGAGCCGAAGGCAGCCCCTTAACCAACTGAGCCACCCAGGTGTCCCCAGGTTTTACTTTTCAAAAAATTAATTATTTCATCATATTTTTGTTTAGGTAGAATTCGCAAGGTTTCTTTCTTATTTAATTAAGGAAGTATTTTTACTCAGATTGAATGTGCAAACTCTGGATTCTGCTTTAAAAATGCACATTAAAATGTATGTACTATTTTTATTCATGTGGAGTATGCACATTCCAGATTTTACTCCTTTTTAAATGAAAGACGATTTTAAAAATACTGTTTCTTCATATGGCTCTTGCAGGATCCAGGTTTTGCTTCTCTCTTAGTTGAATTTTTAATTTTTAATTGAAAATAAAACTTTTCTATTTTGTCATTAAAAACAATTTTTAATCTTCATTCAGGTTGAGTGTGCAAAATCTGGGTTTTGTTTTATTTTTATTAAAACATTTAAAAATAGTTCACGCATATATCGCAAGGTTCAAAAACAAAACAGTATTCAAGATGTTCAGGGAAAAGTCTTGCTCCTACTGTCTACTTCCTCCCCTCTTACAGGTAACTACTTTTAATCATTTTATTAAAATATCCTTCTAAAATATAAGCGCAATAGTATATTTATAATATATTTTTAATTCCCTCCCTCACCCAGGTTTTACCCTAAAATAATTCATGAATGAAACTGTTCTGCATGTCACTGTTTTCACATAATAGTTCTTGAAAATCTTCCACATAAGTACATGGAATGTCCTCATTTGTTTTCCATTGCGAGGATATGACAATATGACACAGTGTAGTTTGTCCCTTATCAGTGAACACCCAGGCGATTTCCAGCCCTTTCCTATTGCAAATGGTGCTGCAGCAAGTAATCATACCCTCGTACCCATGTGGATTCACACAGGTGCAGACAGAACTATAGGATCTAGCCTCCATAGTTACAATGAAAAAGTTTCTTTTTTGCCTCCCCCGCCAGCCGTGTGTGACCATATCTGTTGCCCTACCAACAGAGTGCCTCTCAGACTTCCTGGATAGGTTTGCCTGTTTGAGAGGAGGAAGATTATGAGTGAAGCTGAGTATCTTTTCATATATTTAAGAGCCAGTGCGGTTTTTCCCTAGTGAGAATGGCGTACTCCCCTCCTTTGCCAGTTTTTTTTCTTTTTTTTTTTTTAAATTGGCAATTTCCTTCCTTTTTTTTTTTTTAAAGATTTTTATTTATTTATTTGAGAGAGAATGAGAGAGAAAGCACACGAGATGGGGGGAGGGTCAGAGGGAGAAGCAGACTCCCTGCCGAGCAGGGAGCCCGATGCGGGACTCGATCCAGGGACTCCAGGATCATGACCTGAGCTGAAGGCAGTCGCTTAACCAACTGAGCCACCCAGGCGCCCCTTTTTTTTTTTTTTCTTTTTGAAAAATCGCTTTCTAGGAGCTCCTTCTGTATTAGGGAGAGTACAGGGCAGAGGATGGAATTGCCTTGTTTTGTTTTTAAAATAATATTTAAAGAAGAAAACATGAAAAACACACATACACACACCGGAATCTGCTTACCTTTTATATGTACCCAGTCTCTTCTCTGGGGCCTCACCTAGGGTTACCATGGAGTCACAGAAATGTCCTGGAACAAAGGATGGGTTTTCCTGAGACCTTTTTTTGTTCTTGCCAAGTGGGACTGTCACCTCTTTCTCTCCCACAGGGCTACGGCATGGCATACACTGTCCACAAGTGGTCAGAGCTCAGCTGGGCCAGTCACTGGGTCACTTTTGGATGTTGGATCTTCTATCGTCTCATAGGCTGAGGCACATCTGTGTACCCTCATAGCTCCCTCAAGACCCCTCCTCAGGGTGCCAGCTCTGATGGGGGATGAGGGAAGGCCCTATCTCTAATTCTTGACCCCTCTCCATCCTTGACCCCCCGACACCCCTACACACACACACACACAATTTCCATGCCTGTCGATCCCCACTCCACCACAAGGCGGGAAGGGGGTGGTCCCTGCTGGGGCCTAGGGGTGGAGGATGCTCGGGGAAGCAGAGAGGGGGAGATCCAGGGCCTCCCCGCCTTCCTTCTCCCTTTTTATATACAGTTTGTTATTGTCAAATAAAAGTAGGAAAGATACAAAAGGCTCTTTCTTCACTGCTCAGTGGGGAACAATTGAGTGAGGAATGGACACAGCACGGATAAAGGTTTGGAAGCTGTAAATCCTGAAGAGGGAGCAGGTCGTGATCGGTTCATGGTTAATTTATTACTGTTCAGGGTTGGATGATGAGCCTGAGGACTGCACAGCCTGATTTGAGTGGAGCCAGGACACCCTGGATAGTTGGATGTGGAATGGGGTGGGGGGGCGGAACCTGATACTAGCTGGCTGGAAAACTGATTAAGGTTTTCTGATTGGTTATTCTGAGCAGGACAGGGAGGGGGGAAACAAGACAGATTGTGGGTTCTAATTGGATAGGAAGGTCTGGGATAGGTCTGGGTTTTGACTGCGCAGCCCGGGGTGCCCGCGGGCTTAGGGTTACGGAGTTCGGGTTGGCCCTTTAGAGTTGGCACAGGGAGACTAACGGTCTCCATGCCAATTGGCCAGCAAGGCTGAGGAGCCTGGGTTTTGACTAGTTCTTCTGACTTTTAAGTCGGGAGAGGTGGAGATGCCCGCTGAGGAGTTCTGAGCGCCCAGGGAGAGGGCAGAGGCACAGTGTACAAGATGTGATCTGCCTGTCCTATTAAGTTTCCTTGCCGGTTCGAGCATTAGGATTGAGATCGGTCCGGGAACTCATTGACTGCTCTGCCTAAAAAACGAGGGCAAAGGTGAGCGAACACAGGGCAATGCTGACTCAACAGGAGATGAGGAGGATAAACACCCAGTTTCCGATACGACTGACTGACAATGGGATAGGGAAATTGAAGCCAGAACTCACTGCGGACGGGGTTCAGCCCCCAAACGCCCACCAACCTTGGCGGGTCCCAGCCTTCCCGCAACTCCTGACTGGGTCTCAACCAACAGCGAAAATGGCACCACGCATGGGGGCGGGGCCGGCAGCACAGAGAGAGCTCCTATTGGTTAGGAGCGGCACTGGCCGCCTTCCCAGCCCCTCCATTGGCCAGCTCCGTAAGGTGAGGAACCTGTGAGGGGATAAATCGGAACGAAGGCATTTACACAGCCAGCGCGCTAGCTAGGGAGAGCCTGCTGCCTGCGAGCGAGGCCGCCGCGACCACGCCGCTGGGTGAGTGTCCTCCGCCCAGCCTGCCACTCCAGCCCCTAGCTCTCAACTGCTAAACAGCCGGCCCTCGACGCCTGCGCTCGACCCTTCCTCTTCCCCCACCGCGCCGCCCCGTCCCACGCACACACACACACACACACACACACACACACACACACACTCACTCACTCCCACAGCCCACCCTACGCGCCTGCGCGAGACCCCCTGCTACCGCGCGGTTGTCCGGACGACAGAAGATCTGCCTTCTCATTGGGCAGCTGGCCGAGAGGCTTCTAGTTCTAATTGGTGGTCTCTGAATTTGACCCTCGTTTTCCTGTTTAGAACTGTGCCCAAGACCCTTGCCTTCCGCTTTCCTCTTCTCTCGCAGGTCGGTGGCCTTATGCACGATTTCAGGAGGGGTTTGGCTTTCCACACACTGAACCTGAGGGTTGTAGTTCTGATTAGTTTTCTCTCTCCTGTCCTGCGGTTTCCAGGACTGTGGGGGAGGGAATAGCTTTCTGTTGAAAGATGCTAGACCCTGACCCCTGCCGTGGAACCCAGCCTGGTCTCTGTGTCTCCCCCAGCCGACTGTGACCCCTGAGGGTGGGGACCACGCCGGGCCCCTGTGTGTCCCCTATCCGGGCATGACCAATGAGAGCTGGGACCTAGTCCGGTTCTTGTGTCTGCCCACCAGACTGTGACCAATGAAGGCTAGAACCTGGCCTGGTTCCTGTATCTTCTACATCATAGGACTCTTGGAGGACTTAAACAGCCTTATAGTCATGATTTCAAAACAGCATATAATTAGATTATTTTTAATCTAGTCTATTAACTGATAATTTTAGTCCATTTACATTTCTTGTGATAATAAATTATTTGGATTTGATTTTATGATCTCATTCTGTGCGTTCTATTTGCTCAGGTTTTTCTCTTTTTTTTTTTTTCCCTCTCCTTTCTCCTTATCCACACACAGCCATCAGCCTACAAAGACATGACCACCAACGCCAGCCCCTTGCACCCATACTGGCCTCGGCATCTGAGGCTGGACAACTTTGTGCCTAATGACTGCCCCACTTGGCATCTCCTGGCCGGCCTCTTCTCCATCTCTGGGGTCTTGGTTGTGACCACATGGCTGTTGTCAGGTCGTGCTGCGGTCGTCCCCCTGGGGACTTGGCGGCGACTGTCCCTGTGCTGGTTTGCCATATGTGGGTTCATTCACATGGTGATTGAGGGCTGGTTCAGCCTCTACCACGAAGACCTTCTTGGAGACCAAGCTTTCTTGTCCCAACTCTGTGAGTCCTGAGTTCTTTCATGTGCTGTGGGAGGGAATTTTCTGGGCACAGATTGGTTTAGATGTTTATTCCACCCACCAACTCTAACGTTAATTTATTTTAAAAATGTATGCAACTTTTTTGCTGGATATATATTCATATGGGTCAAAAAAACAAACCATTTAAAGAGGTGTGCAGTGAAAATCTACCTTCTGTCCACCAAGTTTCTGTAGTTATTAACCAATGTTAATAATTGTGTATGGTTTTTTCCAGGGTTCATTTACACAGAATTACACGGATAAGCCTCAGTTTACTATTTGTAAAAGAGGGATAACGGTAATACCCAAATATATGTAAGTCACTTAGAACAGTGTTGGCAGGGGCGCCTGGATGGCACAGTCGGTTAAGCATCTGACTCTTGGTTTCGGCTCAGGTCATGAGATCGAGCCCTGTGTCAGGCTCTGAGCTCAGCATGGAGTCCACTTGAGATTCCCTCTCCCTCTGCTCCTCCTGCTCATGCACACACTCTCTCTCTCAAATAAATAAATCTTAAAAAAAAGACTTTAAGAACAGTGTTGGCAGATAGTAGATGCCATAACTGTTTATCGTCATCATCATCGTTTTTTCCCCTTCTATGCAAACAAATAGTAATATGGTATATACACCTCTGAACTTTGCTCTTTTTCAGTGTGGTCACTCCTCATCAGTTCATAAAAAGCTTTCAAAGCATGGATGTTACAGAATTATTTGACTTGTCCAGTATTTTGGGATATTTCCCACCAATCTTTTTTTTTTTTTTTCAGATTTTATTTATTTATTTGAGAGAGAACAAGCAGAGGGAGAGGGAGAAGCAGACTCCCCACTGAGCAGGGAGCCCAACACGGGGCTCGATCCCAGGATCCTGGGATCATGACCTGAGCCGAAGGCAGACGCTCAACCGACTGAGCCACCCAGGCACCCCCAGTCTTTTGCTATTATAAATAATATTCCTTTTTGGCCTCATGAATAAATTATTTTTCTGCTATTCTTTTTTTTCAAAGGTTTTATTTATTTGAGAGAGAGCACGTGCGCACGAGTGCACAAGCAGGGGGAAAGGGCAGAGGGAGAGGGAGAAGCAGACTCTTCACTGAGCAGGGAGCCCAATGTGGGACTCCATTCCAGGACTCTGAGATCATGACCTGAGCTGAAGGCAGATGCTTAACCAACCGAGCCACCCAGGTGCCCATAAAACTGCTATTCATATATAAAACTTTGATCTAACACAAGTCTGTGTGGAGATCTTTCATTTCTCTTGGGTAAATATGGAAGAGAAGAATGGTAGGTGTGTGTTTAACTTTATGAAAAACTGCCAAACGGTTTTTAAAAATGGCTGCACCATTTTATTTTCCCACCAGCAGTATATGGGAGTTCTAGCTCTTCCACAACTTCACCAACACTTGGTACGGTCAGGTGTTTCTTCAATTTTAGTCGTAGTGGATGCGAGTGATATCTTATTATGGTTTTAATTTGCTTTTTCTTAATAACTCATGAAAGTTTGAGCATGTTTCATATGTTTATTGACCATTTTGGAATCCTCTTTTATGAAGAACCTATTCTTGTCTCCTGTTTTTATGTTGAGTGGTCTTTTTCTTATTAATTCTCTGCTCATTTTTCATTCACTCATCTGTTCTCCTTTGTGCTTGCTCGCTCGCTTGTACGTGCTCTCTCTCTGTCTCTCATGCTCTCACACTCACTCACTCATTGGCTACTTCACTCACCCCATCACCTACACTTGCCTTCTTTTATTCCACATTTATTGAATACCAGACATTCACAGCATTACTTATTGTTCTATGTCAGGTCTGCACACATTATCTTATATACATATGTTCACTCTAGAATCCAGACAGCTACCCCATTTCTCAGATGAGGAAACTGAGGCATGGAGAGGTTATGAAGCCCACCTTACATGGGCCCTCAACTCTCACACATCCGAGTTCCTTTTCTTGCCTTTATTCTTCATGTATGTCTCTTACTTTCTTCAGGGAAAGAGTATGCCAAAGGAGACAGCCGATACATCCTGTAAGTGTTTGCCTCCATCAAGGGAAACCTCCATTGATTGGGGTGGGGGGTGAGTCGGGGAGTACTCATGGGGTGCCCTTTGGGTAGAGCACAGTGATGCCAGTGTTCCCCAACCCTTTCTCCCCCCACAGGAGTGACAACTTCACAATATGCATGGAGACCATCACAGCTTGCCTTTGGGGACCACTCAGCCTATGGGTGGTAATCGCCTTTCTCCGCCAGCAGCCCCTCCGCTTTGTCTTACAGCTCGTGGTCTCTGTGGGTGAGGAGAGGGCCCACAGTGGGTGCTGGAGGGGTTGATGGGGGATCCACAGACACAGGGGTATCCCTGCAGGGAGCATCGCTCAGTTGTGCCCATCCAGGGCTGAGTCAGGCTGAATGACATCCTCCTGAGGTTCTGGAACAGCCATGACCCTCTCAGTCTGTGTTCTCGAGTGGGAAAGGTTCATTTCCCCCTCCTCCTCCTTCATCACAACGTCTCCTGTGGTTACATGAGGTGGCGGGAAGCCCCTGGATCCTCCAGGGTTAGGATTCTGAGCTCCCTTCATCTGGCATTCAGTCCTCTTGTGTTCTTACATTGCTAGCTTTCTTTAGTTCTGGAATCATGGCTGTCTTGAATTAAAGGATTTTGAGCTTCCTTAAATTCTGGAGATGGGAACTCTCCTGAGTTGAGAAATTCTCAGCTTCTGATTTCTGGAATTCTTACTTTTCTAATTCATCAGATTTTCAGCTGTATGATTTCAGAATTCTTAGCTCTCTAAATTTGGGGATCCTGAGCTCTGAGACCTTGAATGATGACTTAGAAAATGTTTTGGAATACCTTTTCCTCCTGACTGGGTTTCCCCTTCCCCTTCTGCCTCCCACAGGTCAGATCTATGGGGATGTGCTCTATTTTCTAACAGAGCACCGGGACGGATTCCAGCATGGGGAGCTGGGCCACCCACTCTACTTCTGGTTTTACTTTGTCTTCATGAACGGCCTGTGGCTGGTGCTGCCTGGAATCCTCGTGCTCGATTCTGTAAAACAGCTCACTCATGCCCAGAGCATGCTGGACACCAAAACCACAATAGCCAAGAGCAAGCTGAACTAATAAGTAGTAGGCTGGGCTTGAACACTGGCCGATGAGGAACCCTCCACCAGGAAGAAGAGTCCAGTCCCATAGGTTGGAGGGACAAAGCAAATTGATCTGTCAAACTCGGGTTAATGGGTAAGCACCAGAAGGGCCAGAGGCAGGGGCAAAAAAGGAGCTGTGTAGAGCTACAGCCAGGAGCCACTGGGACAAAGGTACAGAAGAAACTAGAAGGGCCATAATGGTGGCAGTTTTTAAAATCAGGAAATAAAAGATCTTGACCGTAACACTGAGAGATCTTTAATTACTAACCCCAGAGATGCCCTATGACTGACCCCATAGACCCCTCCCTCACTCACTCATTTCACAGACCACCGTTCTCTCAGCCATAGACCCCCTCCATTATCATCACTTAGACCTCCAATCTATAACCTCATGAACCCCCTCTCACTGACCCCACAGAGTCCCGTGATGACTAATTAGATCCACGAGATGCCCATTATCTCTCTTAAGAAGTGATCATCCACTCACACCCTCGGTGTTCTCTCCAGAACACACTTTCTCATTTTTTGTAATATGGACAGGCTGAGAACTCGTGTCTACTGATCAGGTGCCCCACGGATACCCCATCAATAACTCCACAGATCTTTCCTCACCTCAGACTCCCCCATTACTCCAAAGACCCCACCATCACTTAGCCCACAGACACCCATCAGTACCCTAAAGATCCCCATCTTTGGACCCCAGAGACCCCACAAAACTCACACAAGACCCATCACTCACTTCACATACCCCATAACTTACCCCAAGAGGCCTCTAGTCATACACCCTACAACCCCATGACTCACCCCATAGACCCCCCTCATCATATATAACACAGACCCTCTCAGTCTCCCCACAAATCCCCTATTACTTACCCTATAGGCTGTCATTACTTACCCTACAAAACCCTATAACTCACCTTGCAGAATTTGTCACCTCATACCCCACAGGTCCCCAATTACCCCACAGATCTTCCATCACTCACCTCACATCCTCTCCTGCAGACCACCTACCTATCATGTATCCACAGATTCCTCTCACCCTATAGACCCACCCCCGTGACTCCTCCCTTAGTCTGTCATTAACCTCACAGACCTTGAGTCATAAAACAAATGGGTACTTGAGGAATTTTGAGGAGATGACAAAGAATGAAAAAAAACTGCAGATACCTGTAGACTGGCTCCTGGTGACCTGTACAGAGCAGGACTTCAATTCAAATCCTGGTTCTGCTCAAGCCTCCAGTATAGCTTTTGAGAAATGCCTCACTGTAAAGCCAACGCCAGGCACAGCCACTTTCTGTCCATTGCACCTACTCTGTGCCACTTACTATCCCCTTGACCTTGAGCATGTTTCTCCCTGACCTTCAGTGCTCTCATGTAAAATTCTAATTAGAGTACCTACCTCATTGGATTTTTATGCAGAGTAAATGAATTAATATATGTAGACCACCTGGTATACACTTTGTATTTGTTGAATGGAAGAATAAATAAACAAATGAAAGAGAAAGTTCTCCCCAGGACTATGACAAGGACCTCCTTTTTTGTCTCCTTGCTTCCAATTTTAAGCAGTCTTTCCATCCAAGGCCCTCTCCACAACCAAGACAGGCATCTGACCACATTATACCCCCATTTAAAACCCGGGCTCCAGGGCCATCAGGATTGAACTCCAGGCTAGTGTTTTGTTCATCCCACCCTACGTTAATTGTAATGAGAAGCAGACTCGCAAATTTCTAATTTCCTTCGGAAAATCCAGCAGAGCCATAAGAATTGTTGTTTACTCAAGCACATGGGTTGGAAGAAATGTGCCAAAAACCCTTCTCTGGCTTTCAAAAAAAAAAAAAAATTCCCCATTATTTATACCATCTAAAAAATTGACATCTATCTAATATTAATATCAAGGAAACAAATTATTTAAAAATATACCAGAATAGGGGCATCTGGGTGGCTCAGTTGATTAAGTGTCTGCTGGGATCGTGATCCTGGGGTCCTGGGATCAAACCCCGTGTTGGGCTTCCTGTTCAACAGGGAGTCTGCTTCTCCCTCTCCTTCTGCCCCTCCACCCCAGCTCGTGCTCTATTGATCTCTCTCTCAAATAAATAAAATCTTTTTTAAAAAAGATACCAAAATAGAATTGCAGACTTCTCTAAAAAGTTAATGTTAAGAGTAGCATTCATACGACACTGCAATAATAACTCAAGTCCAGGCATCTTACAGGACTCCTTTGTTAGAAATTACACTTGTAAGGGCAGTCTGTATTTTGTCCAAACCAGATGGGTATGCAATGAAGTGAGAAGAACGCCTTCATGTATTCTGTGATTTGAGGAGTCTAAAATGTTCAATCATCCAGCTGATATTTAGTAGACATACACTGTCTAATAACAGGACTGACCTCAACGTGTTGCGAGGATTAAATAAAATGAAGGCAAACTTAAAAAGCTAGGACCTCCAGAGAGCATAAAAATAGCTTTTTTTAGTAAGTTATTTATTGAGATATATTCATGCAGGGGCGCCTGGGTGGCTCAGTCAGTTAAGCATCTGCCTTCAGTTCAGGTCATGAATCGAGCCCCACGGTAGGGCTCTCTGCTCAGTGGGGAGTCCGCTTCTCCCTCTTCCTCTGCGCCTTCCCCTGGCTTATGCACTCTCTCTCTCTCGCAAATAAATAGTCTTTTTTAAAAAAGGAATATGCAGACAGAAACTGCAAAAGTCATAAATGTGCAGCTCCATGAATTTTCACGAAGTGGAAACTATTTTTAAGAGATTCTGGAAAAGGATTATTTTCCATTCAGCGGACTCATTTGAAGCAAGGGCCACAGGCTTTTGAAATAGATGACATCATCTGTTAAGCAGAGGCACGAGGCAACTCGGGGCGGGATGTGGGGCCTGACGTCATCGCACAGCAGGTTCTTTTCCCCGCCCACTTCTCTCGCCTGAGTAGAACGTCACAGTAACGCGTAGGTGAATCGGGAATTGAGCTGCCAAGACAACCAAACCGCAGGCTCGGGGAGATGGGACCTCAGTAGGCGGCTGCGCACTGGTGGAAATGAGGCACAATGCACCGCTTTTGGGGGCGGGATATCTGGCAACAGCATCTCAAGCGCGTGCGCAGAGGCCAACTCCACCCTGTGCTGGGTGGGAGGGGCAATGGGGGGGCAGGGTCGCACAGCGCCCTCTGCGCCTGCGCCGGGGCGCAAGGTGGGGCCGCGGGCTCCCGTACTCTGGAGTGCGCACAGAGGTGGGGGGCAACGGTCAACCGTCGCCCTGAGGCGGGTGGCGGCGGGATGGCGTCGGCCTCTGGATCCTCGGATTTGGCCGGCTCTGGAGCGCCCCCACCTGGTGGGGGAGCCCAGGCGGCGGCGGCTGAGGAGGAGGAGCGAGAGGTGGTACGGGTCCGAGTCAAGGTGAGGCTGACAGTTGGTCGGCCTGCCCTCCTGGGGTGCCCAGGGGAGGGGAAGGCGGTGACTCTCCCAAGTTGGAGGGCGGGACCCGAGATTTGGGGTGTTAACCTGAGGGGCGAGGCTTGAGGGCAGAGTGAGAGTGGTGGGGACGAGCGGGGGGGGGGGAGGCTGGACCTGGAAATGCTGGGCAGGGCCTGAGGACGTAGGGACTGAAGATGGAAGGGTAGGGGGCCTAAGGAATGGATAGGTGGAGATTATGGGTAGAGAGGAGGGGCCATAGGGCTGGAGGAGGGGCCTTAAATAGTTAAGGAGTGAGGCCCTGAGGAGTGAGGGGGGCTGTTGGTGTCTGAAAAGGAGGTGCTGAAGTCAGTTAACATGTATATTGAGACTGCACTTGTGTGCAGATTTACAGTCTCACCCAGGATGAGCTGACCTGCTTGTCGGGAAGACAGCTAAATAAATGAGATGCTTTGGACACTGGTGAATGTTGTGAGGAGATAAGGAAAAAGCTTCTGAACTAGGGAGTTACTTTAGCCAAGGTTGTAGCGGGAAGTCCCTAGAGAGGTATTGAAGGAGCAGAGACCCAAATACAAAAGGAATCAGCTCTGTGCGTATTGGAGGAAGAGTGGAAGCAGAGAGAACAGCAAGGGCAAAGGCTGGGAGCTGGGGATGAGTTTGGCATGTTACCTTAGGTTCCCACATTGCTGGAGCGAGAGAGCAAGGGCAGGAATGGGTAGGGGGTAAAACAGTGAGGCAAAAGAGGGGCAGATTGTGAAGGGCCTTTGCCATGTATTCTAAGAAAGCTGTTGCCATAGCTCCAGCAAGTGGTCATGGTGGCTGGGACTAGAGTGGTGGCACTGGTGTTGGTGAGAAGGTAGATTCTGGAAAGAAGTAAACAGATCGCCTCAGGGTAATGGGTTTGGGAATTCAGAAAAGAGATGATGGCCAAGCTGTGGGTAAGCCAGCTGGAAGAAAGTGGGAAGGATTTTACAAACAGGGGGATCAGCACAGGCAAAGTCCTGGAGCCAGGATGTGTTCAAAGTAACTTCCAGCAGTTTGGTGGTACCAGAGTGTAAAGTTCAAAAAAGCTGACTGAAGAGAGGCTGGCCAGCGTCCTATAGGCCCACCTTCTGGGGACCCGGGGGTTGCCTTTGAAGAGATTTAAGCAGGATAGTATTGTAGATAGATGTACTAAATTGATGCAGCATGGAGTATTGATTTAACGGGGGCCAGACTGGACATGGTGATCCTGACAACCATTGTTGAGGGAACAAAGAAGGACTAGATGCTTGGACCACTGCAGTAGCCTCCTCCTCACTGGACTGCTGCTTTCTCCCTTGCCCCCCACAGTCTGTTCTTCTAGGACCAGCCAGAAGGATCCTGTTAAACCCCGAGTCAGATCACATTCCTCCGCTGCACAGAACCCTCCACGTCTTACTCCTCACTCAGAGCAAAAACCATGACCCAGAACACCCACCTCCATGTGCCCCTGCCCACAACTTGTCTGACCCTGCCTCCTATCCCTCACTCCGCTTCAGTGTGGTGATGTGGCACCTGATGGCCCACCCTGTGTCTTCTCTCCCCAGAAGTGTGAGAGCTTTTTGTCACCTGAGTTCCGCTCTTTTGCCGTCGACCCCCAGATCACCTCACTCGATGTATTACAGCACATCCTCATCCGAGCATTTGATTTGAATGGGTGAGTTATGGGATGCTGGGGGACTGACCATGGGGCCACCTACCTCAACAGTGGTTGTTGGGCTTTTTTGTTGTTTGTTTGTTTCATTATTACAAATAATCCCACAGTGAACTGCCACATTTGCATATCCTGGGATATTTGGGGAAATCTAGTCATAGGATAAATTCCTAGCAGTGGTATTGCTGGGTTAAAGGGTGTATGCTTTTTAAAATTTCAATGGATGTTTCCAGAATGCTCTCCAGACAGGTTTTTGCCAATTTACAATCTCCCCAGCAGCATATAAAATGCCTGTTTCCCTCAGAAACACTGGTTACTAGAAAACATTGGAAAATTTGCTGACCTGACAAATGAAAAGTGGTGTCTCTTGGGGACAGGTGTGATGCTTATTTTGTTGTGGTTGTTATTTTGGAGGAATACATGCACATAGTAACAAAGAGTACACAAGTGATGTCTACTTAGGATGTTTCCGTGGTTACAGTAGTTACACAACATACTTCATCACACAGTTGCTCAAGTGTATCTGAAGAACAAATTCTTAGTTGTTATTTGACTTTTTTGCATAAACATTTTTTGTTGTGAAAAATAACAAACACACAGCTTGCTTTATTTTTTATGCAGCAGGAAGGCTGCTTTCTTCCCACTTCTACCCCTCAACTACCCTGTCACCCTCCCTAGAGGGGATCAACATTTTAAGTTTTCAGTGTGCCCTCTAGATATAAGCAGGTGTGTACCCATTTCTGTGTTTGTCTAACAAAGTAGAGGTAAACCATCTGACCTCAGGCAGCCCGAAATCCTTGGCACAGTACCCAACACATAGCAGAGTTGTTCAGCATCATCTCTGCCTTTCCTGGCTTTTTGTGGAAACTGTCCCTGGGGCCTCCAGGGCACTGGGGGCACTTGAGAGCTGCCACACCTCCTCTGTACAGGAAGAAGAACTTTGGCATCAGCTACCTGGGCCGGGATCGGCTGGGGCAGGAAACTTACCTCTCACTCCTGTCTGACTGGGACCTCAGTACAGCCTTCACCACAGCCTCCAAACCTTACCTGCAGCTGCGGGTAGACATTCGGCCCACCGAGGACAGTGAGTACCTGGCGCCCTGGGGGCACTGCTCTGGGCCCCACCCTTTCCCCAGGGGATGACTTCACCCCCCTTACAATACACTCCCTCTCAGTGGGCTTGAAAGGAAGAAGGTATCCTAGGTCCACATCCTGGCTTGGCCACTGGGCCTCGATTTCTTTACCTGTAAAGTAGAAATAATGGTATCTTAGGGCCATCGTGAGAATTAAGCAGGGAAATTCACGTAAAATGCCTGGAACAATGCATGGCTGCATAGTGAATGCTCAAAAAATATTAGCTCTAGGGGAGCCTGGGTGGCTCAGTCGGTTGAGCATCCAACTCTTGGTTTCGGCTCAGGTCATGATCTCAGGATCGTGAGATCGAGCCCTGTGTTGGGCTCTGCGCTCACTGCAGAGTCTGCTTGAGATTTTCTCTCTCTCTCCCCCCTCGCCTCACCCCCCCCAAAATAAAAATATTAAAAAAATATTAGTTCTAACAATAACTTATATTTACTATTATATAATCTAGTAATACAAGTTATAATTATATAATGCAGCATAACAATGGAAATGTAGTATTGTATGTTTCCATTATAATAACACCTAACTATATAATGCTGATTATAATAATGATGGTTGTATTCATTCATTCATTCATTCATTCATCCTGCACTCATATTTGTTTGTACTCTTGCTCACTCATTCATTGTTCCCTTGATCTCTCAGCCACTTCCTCTCTTCTCATATTTGTTCCCTGACACTTACCTGTGTTGGTCCCTGGGAACACACAGATAAATTAAGACATGGGCCCAAAAATTTGATTACAAACCATACATTAGATGATAATATTGTATCAGTGTTAAATGTCCTGGGTATGGTAATGGTATCATGGTTATTGAAGGTAGATGTCCTTGTTCTTGGGAAAAGCACAGTTAAGTATTAAGGGGTAAAGTGTCATGATGTCTGCAAATAATTCAGCAAAAAAAATAATATGTACTGGGGCACTTGGGTGGCTAACTCAGTTAAGCAGCCAGCTCTTGATTTTAGCTCAGGTCATGATCTCAGGGTCCTGGGATCCAGCCTCACGTCGGGCTCCACGATCAGTGGGGAATCTGCCCAAGCATTCTCTCTCCCTCTGACCCTCCACCCGTTTGCTCTCTCTCTGAAATAAGTAAATAGATCTTTGAAGAAAAACAATATGTATCTATACAGAGAGAGCAAGATGAAGCAAGTGTGGCAAAAAATGTGAATAGTTAGGGGAGCTAGATGAAGGATGTATGGGTATTCAATGAATTCATCTTTTTAACTTTATTGTAGATTTGAAATTTATTTCTTTATTTGACAGAGAGAGAGAGAGCATGAGCAGGGTAGTGGCAGGGAGAGGGAGAAACAGGCTCCCCGCTGAGCAGAGAGCCCGAAGTGGGGCTCAATCCCAGGACCCCAAGATCACGACCTGAGCTGAAATCAAGAGCTGGCTGCTTAACTGAGTTAAGCTCAGGTCATGATCCCAGGGTCCTGGGATCAAGCCCTGCCTTGGGCTCTGTGCTCAGCGAGGAGTCTGCTTCTCCCTCTCCCTCTCCCTCTGCCCCTTCCCCTGCTCATGCTCCCTCTCCCTCTCATTCTCTCTCAGACGAACAAATAAAATTTGGGGGCGCCTGGGTGGCTCAGTCAGTTAAGCGTCCAACTCTTGGTTTTGGCTCGGGTGATAGTCTCATGGGTCATGGGATCGAGCCCCACATTGGACTCCATGCTCAGCGGGGAGTCTGCTAGAAGATTCTCTCCCTCTGCCCCTGCCTCCACTCTGTCTCTGTCTCTCTCTCTCTAAAATGAATAAATAAATCTTTTTAAAAAATAATTAAATCTTAAAAAATAAATAATAAAAGTTGTGGAGTGGAAAACATGGTTCCCAGCCTCAGGGAATTCATATGCTCATTTGGGATGACTGAGGTCTTTTATGAACGTCATAGTAACATATAAATAGCTAATATGTGTTGAACACTTAGGACCATTCTACACATGTAATATTTATTCATTGGATTGTCAAAACAACCTTACAGGGTAGGCATGATGGTCATCCCTATGTTACAGTTGAGGAAACCGAGGCTCAGAGAGGGGAACAGGGCTTGCGCATGTCACACAGACAGCGCAAGAGCAGGATTTGAACCCAGATGGTGGCTCCAGATTCCTTTCTTTTAACCATTTGATTCTATGAAATTGTGGGCTAGTTAAGATTGGCAGCCTTGAAAAAAAGAGCAGGAGATGGAGAGAGGGAGAGAAAAACTGGAGTCAGGGAGAAAGATAGTGACAGAGATGGGCAAAAGACAGAAACAGGTTTGTTTACCAAATGCAGGAACGTAGTAAATGAGAGAACAGTAGGAAAAGAATGGACTCATCAATAACTGGAAAGTTGATTCTCTGAAAAAATAGCGTTTAAATGTCTTTTTGTCAAATTGAGAAGGGTCCGTCTCTCTGCTTTATTTGCATTCCTCTCAGTTCTTTTTAATTTTTAAAAAAGATTTTATTTACTTATTTGACGGAGAGAAAGAGAGAGCACAAGCAGGGGGAGTGGCAGAGGGAGAGGGAGAAGCAGGCTGCCCGCTGAGCAGAGAGCCTGATGCGGGGCTCGATCCCAGGACCCCAGGATTGTGACCTGAGCCGAAGGCAGACGCTTAACCCACTGAGCCACCCAGGCGTCCCTGCATTCCTCTCAGTTCTTATGCAGTTGGGGTTTTCTTCATGTTTATTAGCTGCACAGATTTGATTTCTTTACTGAAACAGTGCTACTGTGTCTGTTTTGCAGGTGAGGAAACCAAGGCTTGGGGAATTAGTTAAGTGACTGAGCTAAGCACACAGGGCTACTCTGGCAGAAGTTCCTATCTCTGGCTATCTGTCTTTGCCATTTGTCTGAATTCCTGGTCTTCTTATAGTTGATCTCTTTGTTAAAGACAAACCAGTTCATGTTGTTTCAATCACATAGCTTTATGATAGGTTTTAATGTTTTCCTTTTTAAAAATTTTTCTTAAATATTCTTGTGCACTTACTGTTCTTTTCATCTAATAGAATTAGCTTATCAGTTCATTAAAATCCTAATGGGAATTTGATTTAAGTTGCATTTTTTTAAAGAAATTAACTTTTTAGTTACCTAGTAAATAAATTCTCCTGGGGCGCCTGGGTGGCTCAGTCATTGAGCGTCTGCCTTCGGCTCAGGTCATGATCCCAGGGTCCTGGGTTCGAGCCCCGCATCGGGCTCCCTGCTCGGCGGGAGGCCTGCTTCTCCCTCTCTCACTCTCCGAGCTTGTGTTCCCTCTCTCGCTGTGTCTCTCTCTGTCAAATAAATAAAATCTTTAAAAAAAATTAAAAAAATTTTTCCTTATGAAAAATGAGAACATTTCAAATAATACTGAAGTCTCCTGGAACCACTGTGCCTAACCTTTTTTTAAAAAAAAATTTATTTATTTGAGAGAGTGAGCAGGAGCCCGGGGAGAGGGGCAGAGGGAGAGGGAGAAGCAGCCTCCCCGCTGAGCAGAGAGCCTGATGCGGGGCTCAATCCCAGGACCCTGGGATCATTACCTGAGCCCAAGGCAGCCGCTTCACTGACTGAGCCACCCAGGCACCCTGCACTGTGCCTAATCTTGATCCCCTACCCTTTTGCCCTACAGGAACCACTTTGATTAGCTTGATGTGTAATTTTGCAGTTCCTTTACTTATTCGTACACGCACACATATTTATCCACATATAAACATAAGTATATTTGTATTTGTATATATACACAAATGGTATGTGTTTAACAGAAATGGTCTCAGACTCTATAAGTATCCAATAGATGCGGCTGTCATTATAAATATTATTAATGATGTTCTTGTGATCATGTTCATGACTGTGAAAGCAACAGGCTTGTTGTGACAACGTGGACAGCCAGTCCCTCTTTCTGGGAAGAAGCCCGTTTCTGCCACCTCTACAGATGGAAGATCACCCAGCCTAGACCTTCAACCACTGTGTGCAGCTGGGATATGAATGCTCTCTCTGTCATATGTACTGCAAACATTTTTTCCCAGCTTATCATTTGTTTTATGACTTTGCTTACAGTGTCTTTTTTTTTTTGTCCTACTGAAAACTATAATCTGTATGCAATCTTATACATAATACCTATCTCTTCCTTTATGATTTCTGAGTATCTCCCCTTACTTTGGAACATCTTCCCCATCCCCAAGCTTATACAAATATTCTCCTACGTTTTCTTCTAATGTGCTTATTATTTTCTTTTTTTACATATAAATCTCTACGCTGTGAACATTGTGATAAGTACACCTGATTCTTCAAAAAAATTCCAGATAAACAGTTATGCCAGCATCATTTATTAAAGAACCACCATGTTTACACTGATTTGAAGTGACACTTTTATCATACACTGAGTTCCCGTGTGTACTTGGGATTTATTTCTGGGCTGTTTACCACATTCCACTGGTTGACTCCATTTGTCTATTGCTGTGCTAACACCATATTTTTATCACTGTGGTTTTGTGGTTAATTTTAATAAGGCAAGCATTGCCATCCTCCCACTGTTCTTTTCCTGGCTCTTTTTTTTTCTTAACTGTTCTTAAATGTGAATTCTTCCATATAATCGTTAAAATAGTTTTTATCCAGTTCCAGGAAAAACCCCATTAGATTTCTGATTGGCATTGCACAGAATTTATGTATTAATTTAGGGTTTGGGAAGTTTGACAATTTTAGGAAAATGTAGTATGCATAGCATCTATTATGTAATACCACAAGTAGGGCCTGGGACGGCACTCCATAATGAGACATTTGGATGCTTCTCCAGGGAAATGTGTACGCATTCACGCTTAGTAGGTTATATAAAGACTTTATATAGTCTTATGGCAGTTCAGATCAGGCTTTGCCACTGGATGAGTTTGTGCTTATAGAAATCCCTTGCCCGTCCTATTTATGGGTTCTGTCTTTTTTTAATCAATATAGAATGTCTTTCTTTTCCTGTAATACTTCTGGCCTCGAGCGGTGCTTTTTCTGACATTCACATGGCTGTGCTTGCTTTCTGTTTGTTGGTGTTTGCCAGGAATACCTTTAGGTTTCTTCAGCTTTCAGCCTTTCTCTGTCACTTAGTTTTAGGTATGTCTCTCACAAAAACCCCATACTAGGATTTATGTTTTCTTAAGCAATTGACAGTGAAATCTTTTTCCCTCCAGTCTCTCCCACCCTCCCAGGCCCTTGAAATGGAAGCTTCAGAACACTTTTAATTCTTATTTTTACTCTGATCCCTAACATTTAACTTCTGGGTTTTGGTTAGATAGTAATTTCTTTTTGTGTGTGTATGTATATGTATGTATGTATGTATGTATATATATATATATGTTGATAGTAATTTCTTTTTAAATTCCAGGCTGTCATATTTTCTTTATAGTAGTTCACTTATGTTTCAGGAATCCTACAAACTCCCAATCACAGTACCTTTGTCATTTCATGTTTAACTACACATATTAAAAACTTGTGGCCTGTCGCCATTTACCCTCCCTTTTGCCTTTCCCCACTTGGAGCCCTGGTAGTCATTCAGGAGTCATTTGCTTAGAGAACTTCTTGTTCTCCAACAAGGTGCATGGATTAGATGTACTCCAATGACCAAAAATGTCTTTCTTTGGCCATGATAGATATGTACTGTCTTGGCTGGGTGGGGGGGGCTTGCATCTCAAGGCTTTCCTAACAGTGCTCCATGGGCGCGGCAAGCCACTGTCTTCTTGCTTCCAGCGTTGAGGAACAGCACTACTTGCATCTTAAGTCTCCTGGACTTGTCTTCCGGGTATCTCTACATTTTCACTCAAATCATCAAGCTCTAGCTCTGCACTTTGAAGGGGTTCTTCTATTTGGTCTTTCAGACCATTAGTTTGACCTTCTTTCTTTTGCCTGTTAAGTGTTTTCATACTTTGTTTCCAAAGTATATACTTTCTTTCCGAAGTACCACTCTGGCAGCTGTTGGGAGAGAGTGGAGAGGAGCAAAGAGGCAGTTTCAGGTGAGGGATGTGGTGGCTCAGGTGACAAGGCAGAGATGAGAGAAGAGGTGGAATTGAAGTATGTTTTGCATGCACAAGCCATGGGGCTTAGCGACAGTTTGGCCCTGGGAGTTGAGAGAGTGGGAGGCGGCAAGGATGTCCCTCAGGTTTCTGGCTCAAGCAAATGAACAGATAGAGGAGCAGAGGAGGAGGTCATGTCCAGAGTGGATCTTTGGCTCTCCTTTTGGACTCTGTAGGTTCTCAGTGCTCTATGAGACATCCAGGGAGAGGCAGTGACATCCAAATATGGCCTAGGGTTTGCTCCTCCCTCAGCTCTGTGGGAGAAGGTACAGTGGACTCTATGGACAGGCTGCTTAGGGACAGCATCGGCCTGCAAATGACGATGGCTTAAACAAATCAAAGCTGATTTGTTTCATATAGTAGAGTTTGAAATCCACTGGACATTGCTGTTGTCATCTTAGCAGCTCTGTGCCGGGGCTGACATCTCTTAAGTCTCTCAAACTTCCCTTCACGTGGCCACTGTCACTTCAGCCATCACATCACATTTGAGGTGGGAAGAAAGGATGTGAGGGCAAGTAAGGAAGAGAGGGAAGGGATAGACTTCTGCTGATGTTCCAAGGGCCAGAACTGGGTAGAGTGACGACAGCACTATTTCCTCTGTGTAAGATACACGAAATTGCTGTTCCACAAATACCTCTCTTTAAAATATGTCTGGGCTCTGGAGTAAGGTAAACAAGGTACAGATCTAGCCAGCCCTACCATTTCCCAGCTGTAGAATCTTGGCTGACTGTTAATTGTCCCAACCTTTTTTGTCATCATCTACAAAATGAGAATGATATGGTAATCTGTACCAGTTGTGGGATGGAGACTAGCGTGAATATAAGATTAAGAGTTTGGGCTCTCGAGCTTTGGGCCTGGGCTTCAAATTTAGTTCTTTCACTTACTTAGCTGTGAGGCCTTAGGCAACTATCTTATTTTTTTTTTAAAGATTTTATTTATTTGACAGAGAGCGAGACAGCAAGAGAAGGAACACAAGCAGGGGGAGTGGGAGAGGAAGAAGCTGGCTTCCCGCTGAGCAGGGAGCCTGACGTGGGGCTCAATCCCAGGACTCTGGGACCATGACCTGAGCCGAAGGCAGACGTTTAACAACTGAGCCACCCAGGCGCCCCAGGCAACTATCTTATATTGACTGTGCCTGTTTCCTCATAGAAAGAATGGTGTTAATAATAGTGCCTAACTGGGGGCGCCTGGCTGGCTCAGTCAGCGGAGCATGTGACTCTTGATATTGGGGTTGTGAGTTCAAGCCCCATGTTGGGTGTGTGGCAGTTACTTAGGCATAAAAATATTTATAATGATAATAATAGGGCACCTGGGTGGCTCAGTGATTAAGCGTCTGCCTTCGGCTCAGGTCATGATCCCAAGGTCCTGGGATCGAGCCCTACATCGGGCTCCCTGCTGTACAGGAAGCCTGCTTCTCCCTCTCCCACTCCCCCTGCTTGTGTTCCCTCTCTCGCTGTGTTTCTCTGTGTCAAATAAATAAATAAAATCTCTAAAAATAATAATCATCATAATAGTAGTACTAGTAGTAATGGTGCCGGATGCCTGGGTGGCTCGGTCGTTAAGCATCTGCCTTCAGCTTAGGTCATGATCTCGGGGCCCTGGGATCGAGCCCCGCATCGGGCTCCCTGCTCTGTGGGGTATCTGCTGCTCCCTCCCTCTCTCTCTCTCTCTCAAATAAATAAATAAAATCTTTTAAAAAAATAGTGCCCAGGGGCACCTGTGTGGCTCAGTCGGTTAAGCATCTGCCTTCAGCTCAGGTCATGATCCCAGGGTCCTGGGATCGAGCCCCACATCAAGCTCCCTGCTCCGCGGGAAGCCTGCTTCTCCCTCTCCCACTCTTCCTGCTTGTGTTCCCTCTCTTGCTGTGTCTCTCTCTGTCAAATAAATAAAATCTTTAAAAAAAATAGTGCCCAACTTATAGAAAGGATGTGAATATTAAATGAGTCAGTATTTGCAAAGGGCTCAGAACACTTCCTGGCATAAAGTGAAGCCCTTGTCACAGTGCTTGGCACATAGTAAGTGCTCAATAACTATTACTTTTTTTTTTTAATTTCAGTTTGGGTTTTTTTTTTAAGATTTTATTTATTTATTTGAGAGAGAGAATGAGATAGAGAGAGAGAGCATGAGAGGGGGGAGGGTCAGAGGGAGAAGCAGACTCCCCGCTGAGCAGGGAGCCCGATGTGGGACTCGATCCCGGGACTCCAGGATCATGACCTGAGCTGAAGGCAGTGGCTTAACCAACTGAGCCACCCAGGCGCCCCACAATAACTATTACTTTATACCATTAAAGTACTGCTTAGAGTCTGCCGAGCCATTTTGTGGGACAGTTACCACAAAAGAATTATTCACGGTTTTATGTTTTGCCTGATTTAGATGACATGGGAAGAGAGAGCGGGAGTCATTCATTGCCCCGGCGGGGGCGGGGGGGGGTGGCCTGGCTTTGGTAGGAGAGGAACCCAGCTCTGAGGTGTGGGACTCTCACCCTGTTCTTGTAACATGTCATTCTGTTGTGCTTAGGCCCTCTGCTGGAAGACTGGGACATAATCAGCCCCAAGGATGTCATTGGTTCTGACGTGCTACTGGCTGAGAAAAGGTCATCGCTCACGACAGCTGCCCTGCCCTTCACGCAGTCTATCCTCTCTCAGGTGGCTTCAGGGACCCCTGTGGCCGGCTGCAGGGGGAGGGCAGGCCTACCTGGCACCCCCAATTCTGAGCATGCTGGTTGGCACCTGCCCGTAGCCTGCCCAGCTGACTGGTGGCCTTTCTCCCTCCTTCTTTCACAGGTGGGCCGCACCTTGTCTAAGGTCCAGCAGGTGCTAAGCTGGTCATATGGGGAAGATGTCAAGCCCTTCAAGCCTCCCCTGAGCGATGCCGAGTTTCACACATACCTGAACCACGAGGGCCAGCTCTCCCGCCCTGAGGAGTTGCGCCTGCGGATCTATCACGGTGGTGTGGAGCCCTCCCTGCGAAAGGTGAGCCTCCTCGGTCACTCATCGGATCTCTCACTCCTGCAGTCCATGACTAGCTCACGAGACACAGGCAGCGGACCACGCTGTCACGGGATGGCGTGGCGCCATCCCAGGACAGCCAGCTCTCCTTCAGGAGGGGCTGGGAGGCAGAGGAGGGAAGGCCGACTTTTCCGAAGGAAGACAAAGGCCCCAAGGCAGCAGGGTGGGTGGCAACGGATAGCCACTGGGATGTGGTGGCTCATTTGCAGAACCTCAGCCTTATCCCTTTTGTCCGTGGCCAGGTGGTGTGGCGGTACCTGTTGAACGTGTACCCAGATGGGCTGACGGGCCGCGAGCGGATGGACTACATGAAACGCAAGAGTCGCGAGTATGAACAGCTCAAGAGTGAGTGGGCACAACGAGCGAGCCCTGAAGACTTGGAATTCATCCGCAGCACAGTCCTCAAGGATGTGCTGCGGACGGACCGGGCCCACCCCTACTACGCAGGGCCCGAGGACGGCCCACACCTGCGGGCACTGCACGACTTGCTCACCACCTATGCCGTCACCCACCCGCAGGTGTCCTACTGCCAGGGCATGAGCGACCTCGCCTCGCCCATCCTTGCCGTCATGGACCACGAAGGCCATGCCTTCGTCTGCTTTTGTGGCATCATGAAGCGCCTGGCCGCGAACTTCCATCCTGATGGCCGCGCCATGGCCACCAAGTTTGCCCACCTCAAGCTGCTGCTACGACATGCCGACCCTGACTTCTACCAGTACCTACAAGAAGCCGGTGCTGACGACCTGTTCTTCTGCTACCGCTGGCTGTTGCTGGAACTCAAGCGCGAGTTCGCCTTTGACGATGCCCTCCGCATGCTCGAGGTCACCTGGAGTTCGCTGCCCCCCGATCCTCCTGAACATGAGGTAGAGCTCGTCGGACCCCCCAGCCAAGTGGCAGACCCTGGCTTCAGTGGCCACAGGGGGCGGCCCGTGCGACAGAGGCACATGCTGAGGCCTGCCGGGGGAGGGGGCAGTGCTTTCGAAGATGCTGTTGACCACTTGGTGACGACCGGCCAGGGGCCTGGTGGCGGGGGCCGTCTCCTGAGACAAGCCAGTCTGGATGACCTCCAGCAACTCAGGGATAACACGGGCTCCAGGAGGGACCCTCTGGTCCAGCTGCCCCACCCAGCGGCCCTCATCAGCTCCAAGTCCCTCTCCGAGCCCTTGTTGAACTCCTCAGACCCACTCTCCTCCTCTTCCCGCCCTGATTCCCCATCCTCCTCATCTCCGCCATCCACCCAAGAGGCCTCTCCCGCTGGTGATGTGGCTGCGGGATCCCCCTTGATGCCAGAGTTGGGCTCCCCACAAGAACCTGGAAAGTCCCTGCCACCCCCACCCCCACTGGGCCTGCCCCCGCCCCAGGAATTTGGCCGAGGGAACCCATTTATGCTCTTCCTCTGCCTTGCCATCCTGCTGGAGCACCGCGACCACATCATGCGCAACGGGCTAGATTACAACGAGCTGGCCATGCACTTTGACCGCCTTGTGCGAAAACACCACCTGGGGCGCGTCCTTCGCCGGGCCAAGGCTCTCTTCGCTGATTACCTGCAGTCAGAGGTGTGGGACTCAGAGGAGGGGGCCGAGGCCACAGCCCCGTCGTAATCAGGCTCCTTGCAGCCCACCACGAGCCCCACCAGACCTCTGTTCTTTACCCCGGGGGCCTACACGAGACCCCAGCTCCCTGCCTGCCAGCCCTCAACCTGTTGGAGTGCAGGCCCCTCTCTCCCCAGGTCTGAGAGTATGGGGCTCTGCCTTGGCACTGCCCCATGGAGGCCACGGCCTCCTTTCTCAGTTTATGTTGTATTGTTTTTAACAACTGGACTTTGCACACATGAAGGTCACTGTGGTCTGTGTATTTCTCTGCCCTCTCTCTGGGTTTTGTTATAGACAGGAGTCCCCAGGGGCTCCTGCCCTGAGGGAGTGGAAACACCTCACATGGTGGAGGGTGGCCCCCGCTTCCCCAGTGGCAGGAGAGTGGGTGCTGAGAATTGGTTCTAGAAGGTGAGCGCAAGTCGAGGACTGCTTGGGGGAGGCCTGAGGCCATTTTGTGGTACATCTGTCTGCCGTTAAGGGTCTGGATTATGGCTGTGAATGTACGTTTTCAGGACAGGTCCCCAAATGAGGCATGAGAGAGGGAGTTCCTGACTCCAAAAGGGCAAGTCTCATTACACAGACAGGCTACTTAGAAATGTTGGGCCAGCCACTTCTGCCATTCCACGTGTCACCATTTCTAGGATCCAGACCCTCCCCTGTGAGTCTCATGCACTAATGCTGGCGGTCCTGGGCAGGGGTCTGAGGCGCCTATTCTTATCACTTGCTCTGGGACCAGTTCGAGGGACGGTGGCCTTGCCATGTCGAGGGCTCTAAGCCCTAACTTGGGTCTGTAGCTCATGAGGGCCTGTCTTCACCATGTTAGCAACAGAAACCATTCCTTAGCCTTCTCCATTCCACTGATGTTGGCACACAAATCAAGTACTGATAAAACTCAGGCCCTAAAAGATGTCACCTACTTATTGGGAAGATAATGATCAAAAGAAGACCCTTTTCCCCACTTACCTTCTCAGAAGGTGGATTCTTCCATGGGCCAGGTGCTGTTCTCCACAAAGGACATGGCAGATGATGGGTTAGGTAACTGGGTTCCTTCAGGTTATGGCCTGGCTTATGCCCGGTTCTGGCCGGAAGTCGCTGCTGCACTAGGCACAGAGATGAGAGGCATTGGGGCAGCCATCCTCATCTGTCTCCCCCAAGAATGCCATATGAAGCTGGAGAGAAACCCTTAAAAGGTTCCCATCGTGCCCCAGTTTTAGAGGGGAAGCTGACCACTCCTCCGATGAGGGCTCGCTTCACTGGAAGAGCAGGACAAGACCATCCTGTGTCCAGGGTACTCCCAAGACTACCGGTCTAATGAGTACAGAAAGGTGCTCAGACACACACATCCCATCCAAGGGCCGTCCAAGATAAGAGGGTATCTGGCCCTCTGAGGACCTGAACTGGCCCCTTTATCAGGCACCAGCTGATACCCTCTGGGTGCATTCTGTGATTGATGAGCTCAGATATTTGAGGGGCCAGACACGTCAATTCTGTGTATGGCAGCTTGGGACCTCTGAGGGTCAGAGTCCTTTCTGTGACTAGGAAGCTCAGAGACGCTGAAGGGCAGAAACCTCTTATTAGTCCCCGAGAATACTTGGGGCTTCTAGTTCCTGCCATGGTGGCAAACAGCACAAGGCACTGACTCCCTTGCCCAAAAGCAACCCTGGAGAAACTACAGAGGGAAATGTGAGTTCCAGAAACCGCAGCACAGCTATGGAGACCTATGGGAAAATGGAAGGCTGTCTCTAAATGGCCTACATTTTGAGTGGCAATGGCTGAAGGCAGCAAATACAGGATAGCTTTAAATTCTGGCTCTTAACCTCTCCCCCGTGTCGTGTTGGGAAGGTCCTTGTTTGCCCCTCACTGCAGACATCATCCAAACCACTTACAGTTGTCGGGGTGGCAGGGGGCTACTATCAGGGCAGCAAGAACCCTGTTGAGGGGAGGAAATGAGCAGCCAGAGGCAATCATCCTCCCACCCGCCCCCCTCCAGACACCAGGGCTGCTGGTGACACTTAGGGAGATGGCCTCCTCTTGGAGTTTAAAGATGAAACTCCTATCAGAGGAACTGTCAAGTGGTGCGCTAGCAGATGAGAGTGGTAGCTCTCCTGTGGTGCCCGGGGCTGCCCACCCTCTGGCTCATCTCCCCACCCATCTCTTTACACTTCGAACTCCTGGGGGTTTAGCAGAGTCCAGTCTGGCCTTCAGCCTTCCCTCAATACATTGTACATGCCACAATAGCTGCTCCCATCCGGGGAACATGAGCTCACCACCGAAACGACTAGACACCGGGGCAGCATAACCGCCTCCAGAGAAAATTAAACTGGAGGTATTAGGTATCTACTGCTGTATAACAAATGATCCCCAAACTTGGCAGCTTAAAACAACAAACATTTATTTTCTCAGTTTCTGGAGTGTCAGGAATCTGGGAGCCACTCAGCTGGGTGGTTTTGACTCAGTCTCATCTGAGGTTTCAGGCAAGTTGTCAGGACTGAAGACATGACTGCTTGGCTAAAGGACCCACCTCCAACATGGCCCACTCAGGAGGCTGTTGGGAGGAGGCTTCAGTTTTTCACCACCTGAGCCTCTCCACAGAGCTCCTCACAACACGTGGTCCCAACAAGCAGGCAGGAGACCATGAGCAAGACGGAACTGTAGCATCTGTTATAACTCAACCTCAGAAATGACATACCATCACTACTGCTACATTTCCTTGGTCACACTGACCAACCCTAGGACAACATGGGAAGGAACTACACAGGACGTGAATACCAGCAGGCAGGGATCATCAGGTGCTATATTGGAGGCTGGCTACCATACCGGGTGACATATAATATCCACAGCAGAAGTATTGGGACACACATGAAGAATTTGAAGTAAATACAATAAGTAAGAGATAAAAGTAGAATATAAAACCAGAACAAGTGATATAAAAGGGACCTAAAGAAAATATTAGGTGTGAGTATGATAGGAAAAAAGGGAACAGAAAAGTACTATACATGGAGAATATGAAATGGGATGTCAGAAGTTTTACTATAAATAGCAATCACAAAAAATATTTAGAACGGGGTGGGGGATGGGTTAGCCTGGTGATGGGTATTAAGGAGGGCACGTATTGAATGGAGTATTGGGTGTTATATGCAAACAATGAATCATGGAACACGACATCAAAAAAAAATTTAGAACACCGAGACCCTCAATGGATTAAAAAAAAAAGTCCAACAACACCCACACGAAGATTGGGAAATGTTGAAAATGAAAGGATGAAGAGAGGATAGAGCACATTAATAAAAGCCCAAAGAAAGCTGGGATAGCCATCCCAATAGTTAATAAAATTTAAGATCACAAAAGACAAAGAAGGACATACACTCATTGACAGGAAGATATGTCTACCACAAACACATATACACCTAAGGAGCACTGAACAATAAATTTTTTTAAGATTTTTTTATTAGCGCACAAGTGGGGGGAGCAGAGGGAGAAGCAGGAAGCAGACTTCCTGCTGAGCACTGAACCTGACACAGGCTCGATCCCAGGACCCCAGGATCATGACCTGAGCCAAAGGCAGACACTTAACCGACTGAGCCACCCAAGCACCCATGAACAACACATTTTTAAGCTTGATATTTCTTATATATGTATAATATATAATACATAATATATGATTTATATATTAACATATATATATAAGAACACATTCCTATATAACCCACACTTAACAAACGGAGACTACTTTTTTTTTTAAAAGATTTTATTTATTTGACACAGAGAGAGAGATAGCAAGAGCAGGAACACAAGCAAGGGGAGTGGGAGAGGGAGAAGCAGGCTCCCCGCAAAGCAGAGAGCCTGATGCGGGGCTCGATCCCAGGACCCTGGGATCATGACCTGAGCCGAAGGCAGATGCTTAACGACTGAGCCACCCAGGCGCCCCTGGAGAAGACTACTTTTATGCTTACACTTAAACAGTTACAAAAATAGACCACGTTAGGGCACTAACGCCTCGATGAATTCGAAAGTATCAATATTAAGCATTATCTCTGACCATAATACAATGAAATTAGCACAGCAAAAAGCTAAAAAAAAAAAAATCTTTGGAAACTAACATTACTAAATAACTCTTAGATGAAAGAAGAAATCATAAAGGAACTTTAGAAATATTTACAACTAAGCAGCATCTGGGTGGCTCAGTCAGTTGAGCATCCACCTTCAGCTCAGGTCATGATCTTGGGGTCCTCCGATCGAGCCCCGCATTGGGCTCTCTGCTTGGCGGGGAGTCTGCTTCTCCCTCTCCCTCTGCCTCTGCCCCTGCTCATGTACTCACTCTCTCTCAAATAAATCTAAATAAATAAATAAAATAAAATATTAAAAAAAGAAAGGGGGCCCTGGGTGGTGCAGCCGGTTAAGCATCTGACTCTTGGTTTCAGCTCAGGTCATGATCTCAGGATCTTGAGATCAAGCCCCGAGTAGGGCTCCAAGCTCAGCAAGAAGTCTGCTAAAGTTTTTCTCTCCCTCTGCCCCTCCCTGTGTTCGTTCTCTTCCTCTCCCGCTCAAATAAATAAAACTTAAAAAAAAAAAAAAAGATTTACAACTAGAGGTACCTGGCTGGCTCAGTCCGTAGAGCATGGGACTCTTGATCTTGGGGTCGAGAGTTCAAGCCCCATGTTGGGCATAGAGCTTACTTTAAAATATAAATAAATAAGGATGCTTGGGTGGCTCAGTCAGTTAAGCATCCGACACTTGATTTCATGATTCAGGTCATGATCTCAGGGTCCAAGTGTTGAGCCCCACATAAGGCCCCATGCTTGGTGGGGATTCTCCTTTGGATTCTCTCTTTCCCTCTTCCTCTGCCCCTCCCTGTCCTGCTCCCCCCGCCCCCACGCTCTCTATCCCAAATAAATAAATAAGAATCTTAAAAAAATAAAATGTTAAAAAAGGAAATATTTACAACTAAATAATATAAAAACACTACACGCAAAATTTGTAGGACACAGCAAGATCAGTTAATGCAAGAAACCTGTAGCTTTAAATACATTTATCAGGAAAGAAAGGTTGAAAAAAATACACGTTAAACCCAATAAAATGGTTAACTGTGGAAGGAAGAGAACAAAAGTTGGGTGCAGGATTAAAAGAGAATAAATAAAATGAGGGGCTTTTCATGGAACAACAATGAGGATGTGTCATGAACTGTAGAGTATGATCAGAGCTCAGACACTTTGAGAGGCAAGCGAGTACTTCTTTTTTGCATGGGGGCTCAGATTCTCCAAAGGCTACCTAAGACCATTATGCATATGCACAATGTGAAATCTAATCATGTCCATCCTGGGCATAGGAGGCCTGGATATGGCAAAAGTCAGAGAAGTTCATTTTGTGGATGCATACAATTGTGTACTCTGAAAGTTAACAAATCTAGTCTGTATTTGGAGGGCTGACCCTTAGAAAGCTGGACAAGTCCATCCTATGGATAAGAAATGTAGAGTTTCTGAGAGCAGACTAACCCAGTCTTCCTTGATGGGGAGCTTAGACACCCTTTGAAAGCTGGACAAGACCAAATCGTGGGCAGTGAGCTCAGCCCCTCCTTGCTTTGGGTAAGTCCACTGTGTACTGTGAAAGTCTTTTCTGTGGATCAAGGGCTCAGGAACCCTGAGTGACAACAAAAATTGTTCTGTGGATTGGAATTTACTCCCTCTGAAGATTGGAGTATCCTGTTTTGTAGGAAGCATCTCGGGCAGTCTACTGGCAGGGAAATCAAGAGACTGGCTTCAGGAGGCTGTCAGATAAGGAGGAGGGCTGAAGTCAGAAATGAGAAGGAATGACGCCAGGCAAAAGGATCCCAGAACAGGCGGCTAGATGCTGGGCAGAGAAGAAAACGTAGGGATCGGCATCAGACACTGAGAAAACGCAGGATCTGACGTTAAGGACTGTGAAGGGTTTAGGACGACAGGGAAAGTGGGGAATAAAACATCGGGCCCTTGAGGGATATGAGAGGACTGGGAGGTGAAAGAGGTTACAGTAATTACGTCTTGGGGACCTACAGGAAAACGACTGAGATGGTGAGGAAGACGCCAGAACCAATGGGGGAATATGACGTCAAGGATGGCGGGGTGATGTCAGGGTCGGAAAGGGGCGTGAGAGCGAAAAGGTTCGTGCGCATAAGTGAGAAGATGGTTGGGCCAGCGAACGTAGACGGCCCCAGGGTGCACCAATCGCACAAGGCTCGCCTCCATTCCCGGAAGCATGCTGAGCTTATTGGTCCGTTTGCTCTGCCGTCCCTTCCTCCCGCCCCCTTGCTGGCTTCAGCCAATAAGCATGAACGCTGGTGCGCGCGTGGGGACGTTTCGTGACGTGTACGCTACGTACGCTTTATCAAGCGTCTTCCCGCGCGGCAATCTTCCCAGTCTCTCCGCTCCTCGATCGTAGCTCTTCTTCTGGTCTTTTTGCTTAATTTGCAGGTAAGCAGCACATGTCTTGTGAGCCTGCTGCTCCTCGCCTCACTGATGTGCGCCGCGCCGGCCTGGAGCTAGGTGCGCGAGTGGGGAGAGCAGCGGCTTCTGACACGTAGGCTTGGGCTTCTCCCGAGTGGGCGGGTCCCGTGCTGAGAGGTGACACTTTTCTGTTGGTGGGAGGCTGGCGCCTTATATCTGAGTGCGAGGAATGCTGGGAAGGACTGGCGACGTCGGTGGCGGGAGTGACCGCGCGACAGCCGAGATTTGCGGGCGCCCTTCCCCCCACCACCACGTGACCGCCGCCATCTTACTCTGCGGGCGCAGAGAGAACGCGAGGGTGTTCTGGACTTGCGCAGCGGCACAAAATGACGGGCGTGGTGGTGATGATATGGGCATGCGCGAAGGTCGCCCCCAAATGGCTGCCACCCTGATGCGGCACCTCCAGTTCCCGCCTTTTCTGCTTTTCTTCTTGGTCTGCAGTTGCCGCTTTGTTTCCTTCTTTCTGTGGTCCTTTCTTCTCTTCTTCATCCTTTCTTGCTCCTGCTTTTTTCTCTCATCTCCACGGTTTCTCCCACCCCTTTTCGTACTCTCTCCGCAGTACTCGAATTCGCTGCCATGTCTTCTGAAGAAGGGAAGCTTTTCGTGGGAGGGCTCAACTTCAACACCGATGAGCAGGCTCTGGAAGACCACTTCAGCAGCTTCGGTCCTATTTCCGAGGGTGAGACATGGGCCAGATGTATGATGACCTGGGTATTGGTGAAAGTCTGGGGCCTTTGCGTTTCAGGAAATGGAAGGAGAAAAATCAGGACCCTAGGCTTTCACATACTCCTTTTTCTGTTCCTATATCTAAGGTGTAGTCTTACGAGAACCCCCTAACTTTTCAATTGAGGATTGGTGGGAGGGGTCCATCCTCTATCTGACACCCTTTGTCGTTTATGTTCTTCTTACCCACATTCTCTCTTTTACCCAGTGGTCGTTGTCAAGGACCGGGAGACTCAGCGATCCCGGGGTTTTGGTTTCATCACCTTCACCAATCCAGAGCATGCCTCAGATGCAATGAGAGCCATGAATGGAGAGGTGAGGTCTCCTACCTACATAGGGGCCCTGCCCCCATCTGCCACTTCCACCATTCTTTCTGTTTTTCCCTCTGTGTCTGCTAGGGGCAGCGCGGTCACCAAACCCCGCAGTGCCCACTCACAGGAGCATGACTGCCTTCTGTTCTAGGGGGTGGAGGGCAGCGGCAGACAGAGCCGGGCTGCCTGGGAGGCGACGACTGGTCCTGCATGAGGCCGAGAAGCCACCTGTGGATGGTTGACCTGCCCTGGGCTTAGGTAGTAGAGTCTGCAGACCTGCGGGCCTGGCCCGGAGAGGACCTCGTGAGTCTTCTGGGATGGACTCTGAAGTCTCAAACCAAGAGAGGTGTCTATCTAGCCCTAATAGTGGGGCAGCTTATAGGAGTGGGGAGGAGAACTCAGCCTGAGTTCAGTCAAGATGTAAGTAGTAGCAGGGGGAACACGGTGGATTTAGGTCATTTTGTGGGATTCTATAGCTCCTGATAAAACCATTCTGGTCAAAGGAGCTTGTTCTGGAACATGGCACCCAGAACCTGGTGCCCAGCAGCAGTTTCTGGGCTCTTTTGCCCACCTGCCCTACCCATTCTTCCCTTACTACTGCCCTGTTTGACCACTAACCCATCCTCCTTGTGTTTCCCCACACGTAGTCTCTGGATGGTCGCCAGATCCGTGTGGATCACGCGGGCAAGTCGGCCAGGGGAACTAGAGGGGGTGCCTTTGGGGCCCATGGGCGTGGTCGCAGCTACTCTAGAGGTAAGTGCAGTGGTAAGTTTGGATATGGGGGAAAGTGGCTTATTAGTGACTTACATCTGGACAGCTGCCTTTAAACTTTTTCTTAATCTGCTATAGGTGGTGGGGACCAGGGCTATGGGAGTGGCAGATATGACAGTCGACCTGGAGGATATGGGTATGGATATGGAAGGTCCAGAGACTATGGTGGCAGGTGGGTAGCCAAGGGATTGGGGTACTCTGGTGGTGCTGCTTTCTTTTTAAGAGCTCAGCTGCCTAAGAGTTCATGCATATCTCATTTTGGTGTTAGTGTTAGCTTTTACAAATTATAATGAAACTTTAGGTATGTCACTCAGTACGTTTTGAGTTCTGTATAATGCACTAGTAAATTGTAAGTTAATGAAGTTGTAATATGGTAGACGGTAATAACATGTTTATCGTGTCGAGTTGGTTTTGTGTTTATATTGTTAGTGTTTAATATGCTGTATGCGAGTTACATGTCATGTAATTATGTGATTTCTGTACTGCATATGTTTGATACATCTGTTTTACACGTTAAAGTACTATAATAACATACAAGACACGATAGGATGTGTAAATGCGTATGGTTTTTTTTTTTTTATGCATATGGTTTTTAATACTAAGGTGTCTAGGATATATCCATCCTAACTGCTGTGTCTGTTTTCTCCCAGAAGCCAGGGTGGTTATGACCGCTATTCAGGAGGAAATTACAGAGACAATTACGACAACTGAGATGAGGCATGTGCACCTAATGTAGGTGAGGCTTAGATGTTGCCACTGAGCGGACCTCTGTCCACCAGCCCTGTCATGTTCCACTCAACCTTTCCTCCTGCCTGCACTTAGTTCACCTGGCCCACCTGACACCATTCCTAGGCCTCCTTTGCTCTCAGGTGCCTGTCAGAGCTAGTCTGCTGTTGGGAGGGGATGTCTAAAAACTTGTCTCCCTTGTAATCTCTTGCTGGGCATGGAGGAGATGAAGCGGCATTGCTCAGCAATCCTTATCAACCCTGGGAGGTGAGCATGTGTGCCTCTGCCTTCCCAACATTACAATTCTCCCCCTTCTTACTGTTCTCAGATACACAAGGAATAAAACTTCTGGTCCAGGATCATCCTTCCAAATGGCTGTATTTATAAAGATTTTTGGAGCTGCACTGACACATCTGTTTTAGTACATCAACTTCTATTTTTGAACTGAGCTCCCAAGGTAGCTTGTCACAAAGACCTTTTAGAAAGCTCCACGTGTTTTCTAAAATTTTCTCCCTTTTAAATACTAATCCTGGGACATTTGTAGAGTCTGGGTATTTTTTTCCTTTTACCAGTTTTTCAGTTTGGACTCTCAGGATTACTGATCATGGCAAAAAATGTTTGTTCAGACTGCTTTTAAAAAAATAGGCATTTAAAAGCCTGTATACAATGTTTATCATGATTAGGAAGAAATTTCCAAATGCAAGTACAAGAAATCAAAGTAATTAGAGGTGGTTTTTTTTTTATTCAAGATCACCACCCTAAGTATACAGAAATTTCTTAAAATACTCACTGTGAATGTCCTTTTTTTAGTACTGGAAGAAAAAAATATTCTGTTGTGTCTCATTTAGCATTTTAGGATGTCCACGGAGCTGATTAAAAAGTTGAAACATGAAAACAACTGATACGTGTTTTTTCCTTGCTCAACCCAGTTTTCAAACTAAAAATGGAAGATCAAGAAGGGGGGAGACTTTTAGGAAAGTAGTTGGGGGTAGGCAGCAGTTGCCATAAGAGTAGACCTCTCCAGCTCAAAGTTTGGTTGCATTTGGGTATATGTGAAATGTGGGGGGTGGTAGGGGTTACAGAGGAAATAAATACTCTTGCTGGAATTGGGTTTCCTGAGATGGCCTCTTGGTCCCATTGTTTTTGATCAGTGTCAGCTTGGGAATTAGACCGCTTGGGTTTGAGTCTCCCCAGCTTCTCAGAGCATCAGTGGGTGCCCTTTGCAGGATTGTTCTGAGAATTCAAGCACCTGGTGGAAGTTAAATTGTCATAAACAGCATTTCCAGTTTCTTCTGACTCTGAAACGTTGGGAGGTGGAGGAAGTGTACTAAACTCCCCTTTGAGGAACATGGAAGAATCCTGGTTTAAAAACAAGGTTCTAAGAGCTCTGGATTCAGATTCCAGGATTCAAACGAAGTCTCTGCTGCTCTCCAGCTATATTTGACCTTGGGTAGGACACTTAACCTGTGCGCCTCAGCCTCATGGGCATTTTGCATTTCTTGAGGGTTAAGTACATTTAATACGCATGTACAGTCATTGAGAATAGTTAGCAAATATCTTAGTCATAGGGATTCAGTCTTTGGTGCTATGAGGGTCTTTGGTGGTAAGGTAGTGGTAATGGTTGGGCCTGCTTTTGCACGTGTAGCTGGTCTTCGTTCCTCAGTCCTACTGCTACTCTCTTTGGTCCTGGTCCTGGTTCTGGTGGTTGCACTGGAGTCCTATTAGCTTTGTCCTTCCTTTCGGAATTTCTAATCAGTTTTGTCAGTGGCTTCCACCTAGTTGATGGAAAAGTCAAGTACCACCAGATCGCCAGTTGCAGGACATTTTTAACTGCCTTATTTCCTCATGGGGCATGTTAATGAACTCAAGGTGTTCCCTCAAAAGTCCAATATTGAAACCCCAATATGATGGTATTAGGAGGTGAGGTTCTTGGGGGGGGCAGGGGTGATGAGGATTAGATAAGGTCATGAAGGGTGGTGCCCTCATGAGTCACAAGAAAACTTCCCCCTTCTGTTCTCAGCCACATGAGGATACCAGAAGTTGGTAGTCTGGGAAAGCACTCACCAGAGCTCAGCTACACTAGCACCCTGATAGACTTCAGCCTCCAGAACTGAGAAATTTATAAGCCACCCAGTCTGTGGTGTTTTTACAGTTCCCGGAACTGACTGAAACTATACGTTCCTGTTTTTGAAGAGTCCCAGTATTAGAAGTCTACCTCCCCAGTCCCAGCTAGTTGGGAGAGGCTCCAAGGACCCTTCCACCCAAGTAATCATACATCTGCTTTGACAGGTGGGTAGAGACTAGAGAACTTTTCACAACTCCTCACTGGCCCACTGAGCCAGGAAAAGGCATTGTGGCTACCACCACTGGTTAGGTATTGGGTACTTGATTTGAGGAGGCCGTCTGTGCTGGGCCTTTGGGGAGCCAAGGCAGTGGGGGCTGGCAGGAGGAGCACCATTACCACCCTGCAAGTAGGCCATGGTGGGGGGTACCTGCTCCCTGCCTGTTGGGAAGTGAAATGCCCTCACTGTTGGTGTACCTTAAGGCAAGATTCCATAATCAGCTGCAGAGTTCCTGCAACAAAGTGATCCCTAAGTGACATCAATGAGGACCACAGTGTTCTACACCTGCTCTGCTCTCCTGATGTTAGAAAGGTGCCTTGTAGGGGTGCCTGGCTGGCTCAGTTGGTAGAGCATGTGATCCTTGATTCTCACGGTTGTGAGTTCAAGCCCCACAGTGGGCATAGAGCTTACTTAAATAGAAGATCCCTTGTAATCCAGCCCAGAAAGGCCCAGTCTCTTGCTGATTATTTGCTTTAAAGAAAAGGGCTTAGAGGACTCTTCTCACTGCAATTGCTGAATCAAAATTTTCAGATATGGGAGTCAAAGCCCCCTTAAAATACTGGTCCTCTGCTTCAGTTTGACCAGAATTTCACTAGTGTGCATGCTCGTCTCTTAAGAACCCACGGAGACCAGGAACTCCATGCAGAGGTTCCTAAAGAACCTCTGTCCCAAGGCCTGTGAAGACCAGATCCCTGGTCTGCAAACACTTGTATTTTCAAGCCCTGGATCTTGCTTAGACCAAAAACTTTGACCCGAACCTTTAAGACACCCCACCCCCTGCCCATTTCAAGAATAAATCCAAGGGCCTAACCCCTCTCACCCCATGTGGGTTGAAAACAGTGTTTTCACATCCTGCTTCACAGTTTCATTTCTCTGCCTCCGGTTCAATGTGTAAAATGGGAATAATAGTACCCACCAGATGGACAATTTAGGACATGGCAAATTACTGATAGTACACCCATACCCTTGCCCCACGCACTCCTGGATTTGGGGGTGTAGGAAACTTGCAATAAGCTTTTCAAAATAAGCTGCTGTGAATACTGAAGGTATGTAAGAAGGCATATTGGGTAACGATCAGTAGCCAGTGTTCCACGACAGCTTCTCAGGACAAAACCCGTCCCTGACCAGCTGCTTTCTTCCACTGCCACCCCCCCCCCAACTTAAAGGCCGTGATCCTTTATAATTCAGAGTGCATAGAGATCTGAGAAACTGGAAGCGTTTTTTTCAAATTGGGTACAAGACCTGACATGGAGCTTTTCATAATCTTTTTCAGTTTATTTTTTTTAAAGATCTTATTTATTCGTTAAGAGTGTGCACATAAGCAGGGGGAGAGGCAGAGGGAGAGGGAGAAGCAGACTCCCAGCCAAGCTGGGAGCCCAACGTGGGGCTCGATCCCAGGACCTGGAGATCATGACCTGAGTTGAAGGCAGACGCTTAACCATCTGAGCCACCCAGGTGCCCCGTAAGTTTCTTTTTTTAAGTAATCGCTACACCCATCGTGGGGCTCAAACTCACAACCTCAAGACAGTCAAATGCTCTTCCGACTGAGCCAGCCAAGCACCCCAGAGCTACTGCAAAAAAGTGGTTATGGAGAGCTGCCCCAGATCCTAATGGGTGGTCTTAACGTACAGAGAACGCACAAAGGAAAGTTAAGGCTTCTAAATTGTCAAGGACAGTGGCATTCTGTATAAACATTCCTAGTACAATGTCGAGTCAAATTTTTTTAACTCAATTTTAAGCTTCCTTTAAGTAAAACTCATCTTTGGAATTTTGCTTTGCTTTTTCTAGTTCTTAATAGTTGTCAACACAAGATTTGTAGTCTCTCTTTTTAACCCTTATGATTGTAATCCATAGTAACAGGTATATTTTTCTTCACTGGAGTCCAGTCCACCCATTTGTCTATGTAAGTGGAAGAAAGGCTTAATGAATGAAATGGGCAAAGTGCCCTGGTGTTTCCTACTTTGTTTTATCTTTTTTTTTTTTTTTTAAGATTTTATTTACTAGGGGCGCCTGGGTGGCTCAGATGGTTAAGCGTCTGCCTTCGGCTCAGGTCATGATCTTCAGGTCCTGGGATGGAGCCCGTATCGGGCTCTCAGCTCAGCAGGGAGTCTGCTTCTCCCTCTCCCTCTGCCTCTACCCCTGCTTGTGCTCTGTCTGTCTCTCTCTCAAATTAATAAAATAAACTATTTTTTTTAAATTTTTATTTACTTGACAGAGCACAAGCAGGGGCGTGGCAGGCAGAGGGAGAAGTAGGCTTGCCACTGAGGGATGTGGGACTCGATCCCAGGACTTGGAGATAATGACCTGAGCCTAAGGCAGATGCTTAACCAACTGAGCCACCCAGGTGCCCCCACTTCATTGTACTTTAACAAAACAGCTGGCCCAAACCTCTCAAATGCTTGTGAAGCCTGCATTTTGAAAAAATGCATTGTGTTTATAATTGTTGAATCTCTGTGATAGATACATGAAAGTTCATTATATCAACACTCTTGTAAGTTCGAGATTTTCTGTAACAAAACTGTGAGGGGTGTGGTTTGTCAGACCTCAGCATTGGCATGGGAGGTGGGTAGCTGTCAGCTATCTTCTGCTAGCCTACCCTGTCCCCCAAAGGCCTCTGCATAGTCACAGGCATTTCTACTCCAAAGGCCTCAAGAAACCCCGTTCTATAAATGCTAGCTTCTCTTTCTTGGCATCTGACACTGTTATTTTCCAGATACTGGCCCTAGAATCCCATCCTGCTTCTCTGCCCCAATCACAGATCTCAGGACCCCTCTGGCTTTTCCAGGCAGAAGGACTACCCCTTGCCCGGCACTGGAGGTCCTGCCTTCCAACCTCCATACCCAGGACCCCTTAGAACCTCTCTCCTGGCCTATAAAAAGGGGGATAATAAAGGCAGTAGCCCATTAAATGAGTTAAAATATGGGAAACACCTAGAACAGTGGTAGTTTCATGTGGCCAATAAATGTTAGCATTTGTTTTTTTGTTTTTTTAAGATTTTATTTATTTGAGAGCATGAGCAGGGAGAAGGGGCAGAGGGAGAAGGACAAGCACACTCCCCACTGAGTGTGGAGCCAGTTGCAGGGCTCTGTCCCAGGACCCTGAGACCACGACCTGAGCCGAAGTCAGACACTCAACCGATGGACCATGACCTGAGCCCGTCAGACGCTCAACAGACAGCCATCCAGGCGTCCCAAATGTTAGCATTTGTTATGTGTGACATAATTGTAGGGACAGCAATGGATACAACATTTCTTTCCCTCAGGAGTCATGTCATGGTGGGGTCTAAAGACAGTGAAGTAATAAATTGGTGTGTAACATAATGTTAGGGAGTGACAAGAACTAAAGCTGGGGTTTTGGAGAGTGATGGATGTGCTATTTTATGCAAGCTGGTCAGGGAAGGCTACTCAGGAGGTGGTCTTTCAACAGAGACTTGAAGTTAGTGATAGCAGGGGAAAGCAAGCAAGGAGAATATCTGGTGCAGAGGAATGGTTCTGCCATGGCACTCTGTCTGCCTTGCACGTCCCCACATAGACCACGTAGGCGGCTGATCTAGGTATGGG